TAAACCTCTTTTGTGAACCACACGTGTCACGGGAGTTTCTCTGTCGAACGGTGCACACCTTACATTCCTAACAACTGAGCAATATCCATACAATCTGAATCCCAGATAAATTGGAAGTTATTTTGTGTGTTTGAGGAAAGAAGATTTCATTGTATATTTAGGCTTCAGATCACAAGAGATAATGCTCAACTGGGCAAATTTAAATTTACATTTTTCATTTACAGGACAAGTATAAGGAAGTTCATGATAATTGAAGTATAGAAAAAAATGGATTGCATTTACATTCCATGTTTTTTCTGATAAGAATCTCCCTTAGTTTTATCTATACAGCAGCAACCCAGTGAGGTAGGTTAAGCTGAGAGAGTGCTTGAACTACAAGTCATGTAGTAAGCTCCTTGGTCAAGTAGGGACCTGAAGTTTTGTCTTCCTGGTCCAAGTTAAACCAATAAACAACTATACTGCATCATCTCCTCTCTGAGTCATAAAGAATGCATTTTGAAATGAAATCTTTGCATGATTGTGATGAGCATGTGTATATGAGATTCTGTGTGGCCTACATGTCAATTTAACCCCTACATTTTATGGACTGGTCCATACTGAACACCATAATAGAGGCTTCATAGACTTCTAGATAGTCAAGTACATTGGACAATACAGTAAAACCCAATAGTACTCAATTTTGCTAATATTGGTTGTTTAATTAATTATGCACACACGCATATGTGTATGTGTGTTCAAGGTTTTTAAATATTAATTAGATTTCTGTTCCACATTTCTCCAGGAGGTCAGAGTAGTATACGTACCACACACTTCTCTATTTTTTTCCCAACTAACAGTGAGATAAAACAGTTTGGTGTAGTAATTAAGGCATCAGGCTAGAAACCAGGAGACCATGAGTTCTAGTCCTACCTTAGACATGAAGTCAGCTGGATGACCTTGGGCTAGTCCCTCTCTCTCAGCCCTAGGAAGGAGGAAATGGCAAACCACTTCTGAAATCTTGCCAAGAAGACTGCAGGTATTTGTGCAGGCATTCACCAGGAATCAAAAAACAAAACAAAATAGTGACACATGTTGAGCCAACGAAGAGTAATTAGTTCAAAGGGAACTAATGATCTTTAGCTATAAGTAAACTGCAACCTGAATCTCCTCAGTCAATAAATACATTCTTGGCTATTCAACAGTTCACACAACACTCTGTTACTAACTTGTAAACATGTAGTTTGAGTAGCGTTATTTTTAAAGCTAGCAAAATTCAGCTTATAATCATCCTCATTTTCTTCATGACAGTGGCAGAAATCACTGAAATAATATATTTCTGAGTTGCATGTACATCTTTTGTGTGAAATATTGTCCTTTTCCAAAGTGGCATGCTCTTTTCATTTTGAATGTACCAGACCCTTCTTCTCGAAGTTCCCATCCTGCTTGCTCTGGTGGTGATATTGCACATTACTAAGTTGCATGTTGTCACGGCCTCAGTGCAATTTAGTGTGTGTGATATTTTCACATGAGTGCATGCACACAGGCTATTTGTTAAAATTATTGAAGGTTATGTTTCCTGATATAGACTAATTCATTTTGGAAAATGCTACCTCCATTATTTTGGCCTGAAAATTGTTAACTACTGCTCATGAGTGATTTCTGTTTGAAAAAAGTTTTTTTGTTAATTTGTTTCATTTTCTTCCATATAAATCACAAATAATTATGTTTAATGATATGAATGGTCTTTTCATTGTGGTTGGTTGGTTGGTTGGTTGGTTGGTTGGTTGGTTGGTTGGTTGGTTTTTTCTTGAAGAGTTCAATCACAGATACTTTCTACACCATTTGTACTCAAGTTTCTTTTGTAAACTAACTGGGAAGTCTCTATGTTTTTCCTGTAATTATAAACATTCCATACAAATCAGAGCTTCAAGTAATTATTTTTTGAGAAGTATATTTAAAATATAAATATTGCTGCAATCATTTTGCCATTACTATTAATAATTAATATTCCTTCAACAAATTAAAGTGTTCACAGTGCTTCTCATTATTTTTTAAATATTTACATCAAACGTACAAATTAAGTAAATATTGTTACAATTGGTGGGAAGGGAACACTACACAATTTCTTATTGTTTATTGCAATACACATATACATGCCTGATTACAAATTACCAAAGTATTTGCTATATTAGAAGATTGTAACTTCAATTTATGAAAAGTTTAAATTTGTAATTAAAATTCTGTATAGTATGGAAAAGGTTACATTCCAAAGAAGAAGATGCACAGTACTTAAAAAGGAAGTGCTGTTGCATTTTTGGTTTTTAAATTGTTTAATTTTTATTTTTCACAATATCTTCGCCAAGCTGCAAATATTGTTTTGATTCCTTCTGGATTCAGTAGCTTAACTATTATTTTATTTATTTCTATTTAAAACTTCCCTTTCTACTATTGGGGAACTAAAAGACTGATTAAAAAATACCAGTCATTAAATTTTGGATTTATTTTTATCTTTAAGCAAATTTATAGCAAATAGCTTTTATCCAGAAGGAACTGATAAGTATGTATTTATCATCATTATCTAAGTAAACAGTAAACTTAACCCATCATTTTTATATGCCTTTTTTATTCTTCTAGAGGGGTATTCGATGCATCTCTCAAAATGGCTGGGTTCTATGGGCTATACACCTGGCTGACTCATACCATCTTTGGAATTAACATTGTCTTCATACCCTCAGGTGAGAACAAAAAAGAATATGTTGAATGTTTAATGCTTATGTTCAATGTCTAATGCTCATGTTCCATTTTTGGTAATAGTTTTTACATTTTATATGAAATTTAGTGTAGGATTCAGTATTGAAGATACAGAATATATGCTGTAAATCCTTACATTAAACCTCTGACTGATTAGCCTCCTTTTTTGTTCATTTAATTATACTGTAAGTTCTATCAGTGTAATTAAACTTCTTTATCCCCTCGATATGTGTGTAAAAATGAATGCGATAACTCAGTGGCACAAGTTTGTCATAAAATAAATCCTATTAAGGGAAAGGAAGTTCAACTAACCAAGTCTGAATTCAGTGCAATGGTTTGTACCATGCTTGTGGAAAAATAAATGAAGAGAGAATCCTGCTGCTGCCTCCTCTACTGCTTGAAAAGGTAGAAAAATCCTCATAAAATACTTGAGATGTGGAGTAAAAGTTTCATAAGATTTTGAAAGGGGGACAATTCCGCCTTTCAAAATTGGCAACTTGTTTCAGTCAGAGTTGCCAAAATTGGCAACTTGTTTCAGTCAGAGTTGCCAATTCTCCCTTCTAGAACAGAGTCATGTTTCAGAACTTTCTTGAGGATCCTCTGACTGAAGAAGCTTCCAAAAGCACAAGGATCTGCAAAGGGGAAGAATGGGCAAGGGATTTCCTTGATAATCATTCCTGTTCTTGTGCTGCCTTGAATACAAGTTATAGCCTTCTAATTCAACTCACAGTACTGTATTTTGTTATTTCTATCAGTATAGCTGTTACTCATGTAATATGGTACAAAGTTATGGTGCCTTAATTCTTGGTTCCTGATCCAGTAGCATCGAAATTCAGGGTGTGATGACCCATTTTTTTATAAGCAAAATAATTATAAACTCTTTTATCTTGGTTTCTTGTGTTCTACCTAGATTACCCTTTGAATTTAAGTATAGATATATGAAGTTGCAAAATTCTTGTGGAATTATATTCCTAAATAATTAATTGTAAATGTTACATTTTCCTTTCTAACTCCAAACTTTGTCTATCCTTAGCACTGGCTGCTATACTTGGAGTGGTTCCATTTTTGGGAACATACTGGGCAACCATACCTGCAGTTCTAGATCTTTGGCTCGTACAAGGAAAAGGATATAAAGCTATGTTCCTCTTCATTTGTCATCTATTGCCAACTTATTTTGTAGATACGGCAATCTATTTGGATATATCTGGGTGAATATTTTAAAACAATTTTTACTATATTGAAAAAAGTTCTATAACAGATCAGTCAACATCCAGAAATATTTTTAGATTATTTACTTATACCACCATGTTAAAACAGGCATTTCTATTTGTTATACATAATGTTAAAAGAAAATGAGAATGGATGCTACTCTAAAAATTACACTGAAGATCATTTTCAAGACCATATAGAATCAATTATGGATTAGGTTATTTTCAGGAAATTGCACATTATAAAGTGTGCTTCTGTGTGACAGAAAGACAACATGTATAGTTGATGTATGCAGTGGGGAGAATGTAAGTGTAGAGTAGTTCTGTCTCCCTCCACCACTGGCATATTTCCTCAGGAGCAAATGTGACACGTGGAGAAAAAGATTACTTAGTAAAAGGAGAGATAGCTTAAATATTTGTGATTTTCTTCAACATTACTGAAAATATATATAGCATAATATATTTTGAACCTTTTGGGGAGATCCAGGTTCATGTCTCATCCTATCTCACAAATTGTGATTGCTGGGATAAAATTGCAGGAAACCCTCAAAGAGAGGTAAGATGTAAAGAAACTAAGTAAATATGCATGTATGCTTGTATAGGAACAGTTGCTATATTTTATTCTTTACCTCCTGCCTCTTTTGGCATTATAGCCTTATTCAGAGTTTTGAAACAGTGTCATGAACACTTTCATAAAATTGTTACCATGGAATTGTGGCCAGTTATAAATTCTAATATTACAACAGACCATACATTTCAGAAAAAGGCAAAACCTGTTGAGCTGGTTCAGTTGAGTCTTAGAACTGTATGCACATATTTTCTACTTACAAAACTCTTTCTGATCCCATGCTGGGTCCCAGATCCCAAGGTGACCCAGCACCAGGAAACACCCATCTGAGCTTCCCAGTATTTAACAGCTTGAGATTTTGAGTCAGCTCTGCCCTCTTGGTATGTCTCTATTAGAATCAACCTGAGGAAGCCCAAGGATGTTTCTATCAAATTTTGGCTCCAAGACACCACACGAATTTCTCCAGGAAGACTCATCAGTTTATCATTAAACTCCCTTTCCAGGCATCTCCTTTTTTAATTTAAATATCCAAGCACCCCATTTCCAATCTGTTCCTGTTATTGGCTCTATACCCTTCTTCTCCATATATAGAATGGCCTTTTGCCATCTTTCAAAATCCATTTTTCTTCTATCTGTGCAAGTCATATTTTTCTGTCTGCGGAGACATACAGTACATTTGTTTGTTTCTGCTTGTGGTTAGATATCAACTTCCTGCTTCTTCTGATAACTCAGCATATAGAATCTTGTTGTTGTTCAATCATTAAGTCGTGTCCGACTCTTCGTGACCCCATGAACTGTATTGCCCCAGGCCTTCCTGTCCTTCACTGCCTCCCTGAGTTTGCTGTTTCATGCTCATTGCTTCAGT